ATTTTTTTAGCATCTTAACTTTTGTAATGTGACAGAATGCATGCAAGTGCATGTTTATGCTAAACCCTAAATCGGACTAAAGTGAATTTCAAAACTGATTTATGTTAGTTACTTGTAAGTTGGTGTTACTGTAACTGCTAAAATAACACCAGTTTGGTCTGCTCACTACATGAAAAAGCACTAGTCAGAAAAAAAAAAAAAAAAAAAGATCCTGAGTTATGATATCGTGCCTACAAGATTATCCGTGTCTAAGTAGTCAACGGCGACAGTTAACCATGCGTGTTATTTGATTTGCACGAACAAGCCTTTTACTCGCATCATCTTGTTCCACAGATATCAGTGGCCACTGATGCTTTTTAGTTGTGTATTAGTGGTTTGAGTGTCTACAGCATTGTAAAGGTTGTTCCGAAGTCAGAGAACTGAGTTGTAAACTTGTTTGAATATTACCTCTTAATTAGATTCTCCTTGTATCAATCAACTGCAACTTCATCGCCCTCGGGATCATTCGTGTTCTTGACGCGGAGTTCAACAGCCCTCAGATCCCTTAGATGTTGTAAAATCTCTTGGAGAAGATCCACCCCTTTGTCTCCCTTCTTTATGGAGCTCATGCAGTGCTTTAGAAACTCCCTGTCTGCTTCAAGAGCTTGTAGCCTCTCATAAACATGATCCACCTCCTCCTCAATGGCTATTTTGCCATCATTCAACTCAAAATTGGTAATTGAGTTCCGCATTGTTTCAATAGATTCAGATCGATCAATGTGTTCTTCATGAGTTAACCCTTCTTCGGTTTCATTGTCAGTTGCATCCAAAAGCGGAAGAAGTCTTTTTACCATGGAACCCAATGTCTTTCCCTCGGGATGATGTTTATCCTCCGAAAATCCATTTGATGTCCCATTTTCTTCTGGACTGCTAAAATCGTGATTCTCTTCGAAGTCTTTGAGACTATACGCGGGGGAATGCTCAGCTAATTTAAAGTCATCGCCCAATTCCTCATTTGCACCCAACGTGATTAGCTTCTCCTCCAAGGCTTTGAGCTGATCCAAAATGGACAGCCTCTCTTCCTCAAACCCTGCTAGCGATTCATCAAGAACACTCATATTTTTAACACAATCCAGAGCTAAATCTTCCAAACTCAGACCTGCATCATCTGTAGCATTGTTGTTGTTATTGCTTTCTTGAAGGCCACCGAAGCCACTTTCTTCGTCCCTGGCTTCAACATTAAGGTCAATCGATAGCGCATCACTATCCCACGACTGGCTGCAAGAAGCAGAGGAATTCCTACTTTTTACACTTCCATATTTAATTCTGCTCATGATCCTTATCTTCTCTTTTTCCTCATAATCTAGGACTTTCTTTTGATATATTTCCAGTTCTCTCTCGAGTTCTTGCTTTTCCTTCTCCTTCTTGTTCATCAAATCATTCAAAAGTTGTAAGGCATCCTGATCGTACTCGGATTGTTCTTCCATCATCCTCTGGTATTGCAATGCCTCCATTTGCATTGCTGCCTTCTCTTCTTGAAGCCTTGTTATCATAGCCATAGTCTGGTTGGCGGCAATTGCAGACGCACTCCTCTCTTGCTCTAGTTCTGCGTACAAGGAACTTATAGCTTTACGTTCAGCTGTCAGAGCTTCTTTGAGCCGTCCAATCGTTGTAAAAGGATCTCCATCTTCCATCTCACTGACCCCACTTCCATCCAAATACTCTTCTACCGCCGGCTCTTTTTTCTCACCCGGTTTCTTGTGCAAGGAACAAAGACTGTTTACTGATGTTGGTGAGTTCGGAATCTTCTCTTCCTCCGATTCTTGATCATTTTCGAGCTTACTTGTTTCCTCTTTCGGTATACCTTCTTCAGTGTGCCTTAAACCTGTCAAAATTAAATTTACCGTAAACACCAGCTCTTTCTTTTTTAACAATTACACTACTTGTAGTGCTAAATGCCTTTCATCAAATCAGTTTCTGTATATAGGTGGAGATATGATATGATTTTGAGATTTACCGTATTCACTCTGATCCGAGAATGTATCAGGTACATTGGCAATTTCAAAGCACGTCGAAGAAGAACCTTCTTGAGCCCGAGGGTGATCAGTTTCACGGTCACCCACTTCTGTGCTTGACAAATTTCTTGGTATAATGTGATCAACAGAAATACTTTCTTCTTCAGATGCTGCATGGAATTAAGAATCAGAATGCAAAATAAACTTATAGCGAATAAATTTAGTGAATAACTACAATTCTTCTGTACCTGGTGGATCATTTTGTTCTTTGTTATCAGGTTCTTCAATTCGAACAAATAATGTTTGAGCTCCTGGATCAGTGACAAGTTCATCACATGGCTTGCCAAGCAAATCTTGTTTTCCCTCTTCCGCGTCTACCTCAGAAGAGTTATCAGTAAAACCCCTCGCCATATCTAAGCTTTCAACTTCTCCATTACTTGTGTTAACTGCACTCTCGTTTACCATGAGTACTAATGATGCTTCTCCAGAGAGTTGAGGTTGAGATCCGATGTTTGAGTCGGAAGCGAAATTCACTTCATGATGATCATGCTCTCTCACCTCTTCCTCTTTTACATTGCGGATTCCTTGGTCTACTGTAGTTGAAAAATCAATCAACTCCACAGGAATCAACCGGTGATTGTGAGCACCGATCAAACCATTCTCGGAAGATAGGGGGATGATTTCGAGAGAGTAGTCTTCTTCAAAGCAACACTGAATGCTAGTAGCACTAGCATCGGAGGATTGATGGACAAGGTTCGAGCTGTTAGAATCTGACCGCACAATTTCAAGAGAACCTCCTTTGTTGTCTTCATCTGCATCATTTTTCTGACATAGCAATACTGACCTAGACCTCAGACAATCTTCCACTGCACCACCTCTGAAGCTAGAACTGCAAACATCCGAAGTAAGTTGTTGCTCGTCTGCCACTCTATCGTCCTCATGTTCTTCATTCGTTGTCTCTAACTCATAGCCATTGTCACTGTGAGTTGACAGGCTATCGGGTTTGTTTGCACTTTGATACTCGCCTCCATTGTTTCCATCATCCGCAGCCTCTACAGCTGAATCTCCTTTCCGGGCATACTCCAAAGAACCCCAAGAAGGCTCAGACGGTGGAGAACAAGGACGGGAAAACATGTTGGATATCTTAGTGGCATGGCTCTCACATACAACATCTGTGTAAGAGTTGTTTGAGCTGTTGCCTTGTTCCAAGACGCGATTGATTCTACAAGTACACAACGGGCAAGGCTGTTTGAGACCAAAGTAATCGGCAAATTTGGTGATCAAGTAACTGAGCAAAGAGTTGAGGAGGAGGAGTGCTATCAAAATCCATTCAAGGACAGCATAGACTAGAATTACAATCAACTTCGGGGTGTTCCTGTGCAACATGGTTGCAAACTTGTTGCCTGCCATGGATGGAGAGAGAGAGAGAGAGAGAGAGAGAGGAATGCTTCAGCTCTAAGTTGGTTTACAGTAAAAATTATGTTTTCTTCTTCATTTTATCAAAAAGGGGGAGCGGGGATCCGTCTTCAGCGTTGGAAAAGGAAATACGATTAGAAAGAAAGGTGGTTTGTAATGTGCGTTAAAGACTATGAACTATAAACCCGCGCCCGTAGAAGAAAGTAAAAGTTATCGGCACAAGTATTATGTAATTAATTTGTACTTGTTAATTGTTAATCAAATAAATGCATACGCTACCTGGGATTCTTGTTATATTTGGAATTAAAGTGAGAGGCAGGGAATGATGAAACATGGGTTGTCATTTGTCAACAGACACTCAACAGTGGCAGGCATGATAAAAAAGCTAACAAGAAAAAAAGCAAAGTCGAAGAAAAAAGGGAAGGAACTGGATCTAATTGGGGGGTTTTTGGAAGTGATTGGAGAGCCTTTGTATAAATAAAGTTGGTTCTATAATATCTTGCTTTTGCTCCTGGGCCTGTGTATGTTTGCTTTAACTTTTTTAAAAGGAGTAGTGTTACCAGACATTATTTTTTACCTTTCACACGTCTTTCTGAATTTTCGGCTGTTGGATCGAATGAGTTGGAGAAGATTAAAAGATAACAATTAAAAAGAAGTATGTAAGAGGTAAAAATAAATATATGGATATCTTTCAAAAAGTTCATTACTGGGTTTCAGAAACATAACAAATATCAACCAAACGCTTCCTTGAAATGTTTAAAGGGCTGATTTTCACACACTCATATTTTGTCCTTTTATATTCCCGATTATTTACTTTTGGATTGAATAAATGAAAGATAATTAATGGACAAAAATAAATAGGAGTGTGCAAGAGGACAAATGAGGTCTGTTGGATTGAGTAAATCAGGAGAAAACTGCCAAGTATAAACAAAGATATATACAAGGAATAATAGGGCGTGCGATTATTATTTCTCGAATGTGCTATAACAAAAAATAAAGCAAAACGAAAAAGTCGACAGTTACCTAACACCTTAATAAATATCTGTTTTTTTTAATTTTTTTAGTAACTTGTTGGCTTTGTAGTACAATAAATTACAAAAGATCAAGAGGTCTAGAGTTCGACCAACACTTGAATCATCGAATTGTTACCAGAAAAATGAAATTACCCCTAACAGATAGAAGTACAAACAACACTGAAGAAACTAGTAGACCCACATGTTATAGTGGGATATGGGTCTCTTGTCTCTTGAAATAAAACATGTCGAAGGTTTTATTGCAAATGTCCTCCATAATTTTGAACAACTGGCTAGAGACCTCACAAGTCGCAATTCATGTGCAAAACCACCAACTTGTGGAACATGACGATAGAATCCATGGATTTCCAACCCTTATGATTACCCGACTCTTTTTCTCCTTTCACACACCGCTTCTTTCTCTGAATTCGTTTGATTTCTTTAATCTAAATGCTAGAAATAAACATGTTGTGTAGAGAAAAATGGTGCGCGGACACGTCCCTTGGTGAAAAGTTCTGCAAAACTGAACGTTATATAAATTTGTAACACTCTCTGAACTATAAACCCTAGACAGCAATTTGAACAAAATTAAGTAGTTTACTAACATGATAGGATTTGTAGCTAATGAGACGTCCCAAGTTTGAATCCCCCAGCCGTTGTGAATCATTTGACATATATTTCGATAAGATAAGAAAAAGAATGCAGCAATTTATCTATGTACAGAATTTAAGCCTCCATGTGAATACCTACTCTACAGTTGTATAACTATGTCAATCTGTATTTGCATTGTCGTCGGATTGTTGGCTTTCATCTTCTCGAATGGTATTTTGGTTCATCGTAAACCTCCAGCTATCTCCTTCCTCAATCTTCCATTGTTTCTTAAGTTCAAAGATTGCTTTAGAGGCTGCGGCAGCAATTGCTGGATTGCTATCTTCTGCGAGTCTCTGCAAGAAAGGCATGAGTTTCTGGCATCATCACGGCAAAGAATGATGAATACAATTATTTAATTTCCAGCAAACCTGTAATGCTCCCATTCCTGCATTACCAAGAGTCCACATAGATGGAGCTGCAGCCAAAGCATTGGCCACTGCTTGCCTATACAACAGAAAACAAACAGGTAAGAGTGGATGATATACAAGTCAAGTAGGAGTCGACAGAAACTAAGGAATCAAAGTTCAAACAGGCTTCCTTGTCGCTGGAATTTGTTATATTACTCAAAAATATATTCAGTAGCACGATTGTTTTAAATTAATGTCAGCGTCAGACTTCTATTTGGCTATCTACTGCCTTCTCATAGGTTAGGGTTATTATGCATTTTACAGTGAAATGGATCACAAATTCGCAATATATAAAATGACAAACAAATTCCTAAAAGAAACACAAGTGACACTTTTCTCAGCATTGTTTCCAAAAAGAGAGGCAAAATAATTCCAAGAAGCCTTGTCCATGCACGTCAGTAAAGTAAAGCATATTGCATGATTGGCTTTGTATGCTTAAATCTTAGTTTCACAACACAACAATACAGACTAAACTGTAAGCTTGTGAGGGAAAATGTATGCATTTGTCACGTTGAAGGGGGTTAAGATTGTCCAAGGAGCACTATAAGATAAGTAATGCTTGCATAACTTACCTGGTGTTGACATCAGGAGAACTTGAACACTCCGCCAATAACGATACACTACTTTTACCATCCATTGCATCGAGATCAATTAGAGTCGCAATTAACAGCTCGAGCTACTCCAGATAGAAAAGATAATTTAAATAAGCGACCCTACAAGCAGTCTAACATAGTAACATTAACTGCTAGATCAGATCATGAACATAAATACGTATTTAGATATGGACCTCTTCAGGATCGGTATAATCAATTCCATCAGCTTCAAAGAAGGCAGAAGCCATACTCCAGTAAGCTTCCTGTACACAACCAGTCACATGGTTGTAATATCCTGAATCTCAAGAAAGTAGAAAGAAAGAGAACTGGAGAATTCCAGGAAAAGGGGACCTGAATTGCCGTAATGCGATCAGTAGATACTTCTCCAGGAGGGAAATCAAGACTTTTCCCATTCTTTCAAGCATTATACGCCCCAGTATGTCATTTTCTGATATAACACCATTTTCGCTTTGCAGAGGACTGGATGTTGACATGAGATATTATGCTCCAAAGGTGAATACACAAGTGATAGAAGGGATCAAACTACGAAGGAACTTAACAATCACAAAAGAAACTTACAAATTGTACAATTTGTTTACCATCCTGTCAAGAATATTTTTGACAAACTGCATATAATATGTAAAAAATTCAGAGAACACAGAGCAACATAACTAGACATGATAAACTAGAAACATATTCTCCTACAAGTATCCTTGATTAGTATTGCAAAACAAAATCAATTTACCTCCAAAGCCATTAGGGCATCTTCCATTGCACGTTGTTTCGCACGGAGGTCAGCACGGCGCAAATCAGCCTAAGAGAGTCAACACAGCACCAAGATGCATATTTAGTGCATTATTATCATCATTGTATTTTCCAGACAACTAAAATTGTTTTCCATAAGTAACACTGCACTTTTACAATATATATTTTATATACATACACATAATGTAGAATCGAATTTCAAAAAACTTGAATTGTTTTTTAATTATACTAGAATACTAGCAACGGTTTTCTAAGCATTGGATGCAGATTCATGTACCCTCTCTTGTTTGTACTCTTGTGCATCAATCAAGCCCTTATTTACGTGCATTTCTTTCTACTTTGACATCTTTTTCATTTTCTTGGATTGTTTCCTGGCTCGCTTATTTCTATTTTACACTCTCGTAGTTTAACTACACACACTAATGGGTATTAGAAGTAAACTATTAAACTATAGTAACCTAGTTTAGAGTCAAATATACCGGCAGGGCACACTGTTTTCACCTTATACGTTGCATATTCATCATTAATACATATTGTATGAAGCTCTTATAGTTAATTGATGCATAATGAATGATTTCAATTTCTTCAAAGTTTCCTTCAAAATTTCCATGTTTTGAGACACTACATCATGTCAAACAACAGATGAAACAAAAGAGTTTCTTTCTGTGAAACGCGTACCTCTAAGGCTCCGTCACTCCAATGCTTATCTGCAGCGGTTTTCAATCTAGACTCGGCTTTGTCTTTTAAGATTTGCAGAGGATTTTTGGTTATCAAATTAGTAAAAAGATTCAATGTTTTAATAAAAAGCTGCCCAAAAAAAAACTATTTATATTTAGGCCCTATTTATTTATCCCAGAAAGGCTGGGCTTAAATATTTTTTAAAAAATAGTTCATGGCTTAAAAATAGAGACACCAAAAGTAAGTGTTTATTACAAGTGTTGCTTTGTGACTTACTGTTAAAAACCCCCTTAAATAATACACATACCATAGCAATATGATGAAGGAGCTCGGCTTTCTTCTTCACATTACGGTCAATTTTCTCAGTATCCTCTTTTGCCCGTGCTACAGAGCAGAAGGTCAGGATAACAACATCATAAGTTTCTTGAGAAAGATGACTGCATGTTTAGGCAACCAGAAAAAAAGAGAACCAAATAATCCATTCTCCCATTAAATAAACAAAAAGAATTTAGAAGCCAGAAGTTCTAAAAGGAGAAAAATATTCATCCAAGAACATATACAAAATCCTTGGTTGAGTGCTCATTCCCCAGAATGAACATTCGAAGGAATGCCTCAAAACGTGGAATCAGCATTCTCCCATTTTATCATGATGAGGTGTCCGTATATTCTCCTACTCTGCCAGAGCCACTAACTTCCTTATCTAACTTCATCTACATCACCATACCCCTGTTCCAGGTTTATCTCCAGTCAAAAGATTGACCCATGGTCTTCTGATGAGTAGATTTTATATTATATATTTTACCCTAATCTTAGTATATTTTGGTTAATATTTTGGAAGAATTTTGATACTTTGAATTGTATTTTCAATATAGGACTTTCGGCTTCCTCTGGAGCAAAACAGGATCAAATGGACGAATTTTGGAGTAATTCCAGTTGGAGGACGTTCGTGAGTCACTTAGCTTGATCGTATCAAAATTTGGGATTTTTCCACCAAGCGGTGATTTTCTGACGATGAAATAAAGAAGCAGTGCGCAGTGCTGGAAAGTGACGTTTTTGGGCTTAAATTGCGTTTTTGGAGCCCAAGATGACCTCGGATGGGTTCGTGGCCTTCTGGAAAAGTGTTCAGAATAGTCCAAACATTAAATCCAGCTATATTGGGCCAGTTTTGGAGCAGCTTATGGGCCAAAACGTGGCTGTTCAGATTTTAGACGAATTTTTATCATTTAATTTAGGGTTATGTTTTCTAGGGTTTTTGTGGGGGCTTAGCAGATATATTGCTTGGCCGTCTACAGTTTTAGGGGACGCTTTATTTTATGCAATACTGGAGACAGAGAGGAGTGCTAGGGTTTTGAAGATTTTCTACTTGAAGGTGTTTTCAATCTTTTTCTTAAGAATATTTTCTATGATTTCAATTATGAATATGCGGAACTAATTTCTTTTGCTAGGGCGAAGCCTTGAGCCTTAGCATGAATATGTGATTTTTATTTAATTGCTTATGATCGATTGCATGCGTACTTTGAATTGTTAATCACCGGGATAAAAACTATCTAATTGTCGTAATGCCTGATCACCATTAGGATCTTTAGAAAAGTAATTTGATGCAATTTTGGTCGGAAGGTTCCCTGAAATTGACGCTGGCTTCTTGTGATTAATAATTGTAATTTCTCTTAGGATGAATATCACGTCTTAAGGATTGCATGGTTTTTTCAAAGGATTTTCATAAAGCATAATGAGTCTTTCATGTTCATATTTGATCCGAACGTCCGGACGGGTTGCATGTTAGATATACGTTCTACGTTGGAGGTTCCAAGTAGAATATGAATTAGGAAAATCTAACCTTCAAAGTGGTATGTGTAGATCATAAGTAATGGGTAAAAATTCATAGGATTACTAGGTGATGGTGGAACCCTAGTGCCTTCTCAATTTGATTTTCTCAAAACTGTTTTTTTCTCTAGTCCTAATATTGCAGATTGTCTTATCATTAATAGTTAAATTCGTTTTTAATTTAAGTAGGTTATAAAATCAATCATCTAAATTTCTACTTTACAATCATTAATTGGAATCTGATTTGTTTCGAATTATTTAATAATCCCTGTGGAGAATGACCTTGCGAGATCCGTTTATACTACAATAACCTTGTGATTCTTGCAAGTAAAATAGAAGGTTTTTATCGCATTCACATAAGCAGTAAAAATCCTATCATCTTCCAATCTAATAACGATGAATTACTGCATTATGCTATACACACACGCGTACAAAATCCTTTTGGAGTATTTTGGGTTAAACGTGTACAATGGACTCAACATCGCATTGCTAATTTCTTCTTGTTTGCAATCAATTGATTTTACCTTGTCTTCCAGGCTAATCTTTATCCAGAAACTTGCTATGGATGACGAAATGTGCATTTCACAAGAATCAGACCTATGGAACTTCCTCCTCCTCCTGGGTTTACACAATTGAATACCTCCTCTCCTACATAATTGAATACATTATATCCTATCGGACATCTGAACTCAGCATGTTCTCTTTTTTTTTCCTTTTATCTGTTGTTAGTCGTCCTTTGTTTCTCTCCTGTCGCACAGTTCAAATAACTTTAGTCATAGCTTTTCCTAAAGGGTATGTTTCAGAAACTTCCCTATACCCCAAAGCAGAATGGTGTGGCTGAGTGCAAAATGTGGAGACTATACAGCTTTTATTCGTTGTTTCTTGAGAGTATGGCATATGGTCATTCTAACCATTGCATACCTCATTAACCGTACTAGAGGAGTCCTAAATGGTACAACTCCACTCAAAGTCCTTCAGCCACGTAGATATCACATTCTTCAGTGGAAATATAACTTCATGATTGGTTCCAACCAATGTTTTACACGACTTTTAGCTTAGATTATATTACTTGTTAACCAAGAAAAAATTTCTAAATTACTGGAATATGGATTTTGAATTTTTTTAACTATTAATAATTCTATCTGAGAGAAAAGATGAGAATAGGATTTCTTTTATGACTACAGCTAACATATATAAGCCTTAACCAATCATATATTTAGACAATTTTTGATAAAAATCTTTTAACCGATCATATATATTCTTGATGAATCCCTGATGCAAACCCTAGATTACCAGTTCCAAATAAACAACAGAGTTTGATTCTTTCCTTGATTCCAAATTTCCAATTCCATTCTAGAAACCAAACACCTTATTCATTTCACATTATTTGTTATTCGAATATGAATAAATTCATGTAAGTGTGGATTCAAGGATATATAGAATTTATAAAGCTGCCCAAGAAAATCTGCGCACTGAAAAGGTGATAAGAGTTTTACCATCCAGCTTAAGAAACCCCAACCCAAGAATAGCAATGTCTTGACGCACACGGGCATTCAACCTCATTATACCACTGACAAGAAATGGCAAATAATGAGCAATGAGCTCTAAGAATGAACATTTCAGGTCATATAAAATCATGGATGACTATCTTAATACATTGATAATAACTATCACGTGCAGGTAGCCAGTACAATTGTACATTTTTTGCAAACCATGTAAAACCATTTTGTGAATGGCAATGAATTATGCCGAGAATAATTGAGGGAATAGTTGGCTTGGCAATCAAGTTAATGAAATCTCTAGGACTCTCGGTGCCTTAAGGAAATAAACATATTGGAGTCTTAATTACATGCAATCAATTAAGGGCCTTTATTAAGTAAATACAAGGAATAAGAGTCATGATGGGACTATAATTGATGAGATATGATTTGGGTTGATATCCTTTCTGATAATAGGGAGGAATTGATTGAAACCCTAGCTGTATAACCTAGGAGCAGTCCCTGCTTCCATACCGATAGAAACTCACAAAAACTATAAGCCTATTTTGATAGTAGAGTTCGTTGAGAGGTATTGGAAGTAGAAGACTACTTCTACTTTGTTCGCAAGGATCAATGACTTCACCTTCATAACCATGTCTTCCGAATTCTATAGATAAGTTCAATATAATTAGTCGATCTCTATTTCATATTGATTTGATTTATTCGTGATCCTAATGCCTTGTTGTTGTGATTTCAGAATATGTCTTATATGTGGTATCAGAGCCGCACAACAAGCTTAGGGTCCGATATAAAGGTATAAGCAAATTTGTTTATAGAAGACTGATTCAATTGTTTGTTCCATGGCGACTCCATCAGAGCCACCCAACGTGGCTAGGGTTCTTTATTTTTACTAAAGGAACTGAGGTATATATTTGATTCTGGTTAAATTAATGCTTCCGCTATACTCTAACCATTTCTTCTGCAATTTTTTTTACACTCAATTGCATGATGAATAATTACATGGTATTCTTCGAGTTGTGTTTGTTACATTTATGCAGAGAATTACATCCATTCAGAGTAATGAAAACACTTGGATGATCTTGGTTAAATGCTTCCACAATCTTGAATGAGTTTGTTGTAAACTTGCTGCATATTTCGCACGCATCAAAACTGGTACTTTGCATATTGGCTAATTGCTTCCATCAGAATGGCATCAAATAGAAGGAGTATCAGACTTCAACAAATGAAGTAAAACTTTAGGAATCAATATCATTTATCTATCACTAAACGACTTGACAGATAAATTGATGATTGATTTTATTTTGGATGAACCATGTGAGTGTTTGCTTAATGGTTCTTGGTTAGAGGTTCAACTGATTAACATAAGCTTAAGACGCAAATATTCCGGCGGCTTTTGACTCTATTCGGCGTTTTTCATTACAAATTCTCCCCGGAAAGGTATGAAATTGCTCTTCGCAATTTAATCTCTATCTCATTTGGTTGAATTGAAATTAAGCTTTTGGTTCCAACTAAATCGATTAAGTTAAGAGTTCATGCTTCTGCTTATGTTTTAAAATTTTAAATTTAAATTTGGTAAGTTGTCTATTACAATCTTGTGACATTATTTTGAGTTGATGGAAATTAGCTTTATGGATACTAGTTTCCTGGGTGAGCCATAGTATATGATTTCATACTTTAAAATTTGGATTTGGATACCATGGCACTAACATGTCGTGTGCAGGCACACAAGTTCATATCTTAGTTGAATGTATGAACTAATTTTACAGAAATTTAGAAGGTTTAGAAAAACTTTTCAAGTCCCAAATCTCTCGATCTTGAGAAGCTTGAGTTATATACATCTTGTTGACATGTTTTTTTTTTGGGGGATTTTCATACTTCCGTTCACTTTTATTCTATTATTATTCATGAATCTATTACCCTTGTATTGAAGAGAACTGCACTGGTAGTGTTGAGATTTTCTGCCTATATAAACTTATATTTTAACTACATTGGCTTATTTATTGCATGATTTAACAGTGTAGTCCGGTCCATAATTTTTGGGATGATGAATTAAAGGATAGTAGTGTGGATTT